TTTTATGTGGTTTCAATTATACAACTTATGCAAGGAGGAGTGTTGCTGCGAAGTGAATATGCCATAACCTTATATCTCGTGACCAAAAGCAGTCTGGATGTATTTAGAGCCTCGAGATGTTTTCTGTATCTGACAGTTTGTACATACTTGCAGCTTCTCTGTTCTTTGATATGTTTACCTCTGTTCTGTGTTCTTAACTGTCTCGAGTAGGTGATAGTACTTTGAGAGTTTTATTTTTCCTGCTCGACGTGGATGATGGTTTGGCATTAACCCATCCTCTGCCTCTGGACTCTCTCTGTTCTTTTGTTCTTGGCCGGATTTCCAGTGCACTGCAGTGATGACGGGCCGCATGAGGAATTCTATCTGTATTGCATTTAGTCACTTTGGACATGACCTGTGATTCAATAAAGATTTTTTTTTTTACCTGTATCCAGCACAATGTCATCCATGCATTTACACAACCATTAAAAATCCACTGTGCTGAAGGTTTGAAAACCATGCTTGTTTAGACGCTGGAACATAGGTTTATAGAAAAGGGTTTATTTTGTGATCATAACCGGCTGATTGTACATTATTCCACTTACTACACAGGAAATAAGGACCCTGGTGAAATAAGGTAGATCTCATTCTTTGTCTCCTTTCAGTGTAATTTGTCAAGCTATGAGCTACTCATAATTTACAGTAAAAACTACAGTACAATTACTATTTTGAATAGTACTTCTACAGGTTTACTTAGGTAGAAGTAGCTTACTACAATATTGCTTACTATATAAATATAATTATATAGTGTAATTTAATCATATCTATAACGCTTTCTAGGACAGAATTCATTTATGAGAACACAGAGATCCACTTTTCATAAAGCACGTGAATACAGAATTCAGTTCTCTTTCACGTCTCTCATTGCGCTTGGAACAGACATACAAAATTACCTCAAAATTCTCGTAAACACAGTCGGTTATGTCTTAAGTGAAGTGAAGGTAATTCAAAAGAAATCGGATGTGTATCATTATATTGGATATGTGCATTCAGTCTTAAAGTGAGCAGCCTATAAATATCTGACAACAATAAAACAGCTTTAACAAAGATTAACCTATATTTAATTTATACAGTAAACACTATGCAGTGTTATTTTACACTTAATTAAATTTCTGCACCTGAATACACTTGTTAAACCTTATTTTATTTGTAACTTGTTCTTACTTAATTACAAACTATTCACTTTGTTCATTGTTTGAAGTAAAATGTGTCATAAAAAAAATTGAGAATTAAAAAAAATATATATATACTGGATTTATGAAGTGCACAGAGGAACAGTCTCTAAATTCTCTCAAATCTTTTGTACTGTTACTACTCATACTAGTTTTGTCACGGTGCGTGCGGGGAGATGAAGCGAGGACTCAATTGCAGGAGAAATGGTTATTTATTTTGATAATAAAAATGAAACAAAAACAAACTCAAACCACCCTGAGGGGGAAAAACAGACAGGCAGGCTAGGAACTGCACTACATGCAGACATAACACACACACAATGAGAAATGACGGATCAGCACAGGATGACAGACACCAGGAGAATAAATAGGAACCAAACGAGGAGGCTAACGAGGGAGACACAGGTGGATCAACTTAAACTATAACGAGGTAACAAGATGGGAGGGGCAAGACAATAGACAGGAGAGAGCACATGGCGACAGACAAACACAACACAAGCCATGTGCTCACAGAACACAGACATCTGGTGGCCCTCCTGGGCACACCCGTTGCAGACTGCGACAAGTTTTCTCTGCTTTGTGTACAAGTGTTTTTTTTTTACATTACACTGTCTGTTTCAGACTTCCTCAAAGACATTTTTTCTTATTTTTTTTGTGCACTAGATTAGCTCTTCCGAGTTTTTTCTATTTGTTACTTCTTTCTTTGTGCACTACTTTTGCTCTTTTATAGTAATTTGCTTCTCCTTTTTGTGCACCAAGTTTGCTGCTTATTGTTTTACTAAGCTTGACCCTCTGAAACTCTGCTACGTGGTTTGTGCTGTTTTTCCTCACTGTGGCTGATTTGGAGTATCTGCTGAATGAATAAATGTAACGAAAAAATTAAGCTTGCTTTTCACAAAAACTATTTTGGATTTCTCTTCTGCCTTCCCTATGTTACATTGAATCTTGAGCTACTCCTGACATTTGTCCCTGCTGAACCCATTCATGATGTAAGATCTCCTCTAAAGTTGCTCTCTCTGCAGGATCACGAGTCAGGCACCGACTTATCAAATCCTGGCATTCTGTTAAAGGTTTTCACAAGAGAGCTGATTAGTCACATATGTCCATGTGCAACCTTCTACACTCTAAAAAATGCTGGGTAAAATAGGGACAAACCCAGCAATTGGGCTGTTTTGACCCAGCGGTTGGGTTAAATGTTTAAGCCAACCTTCTGGGTAGTAACCCAACCGCTGAGTCAAAACAACCCAATTGCTAGAGAGTCTTACATACCATGCAGAATTGAAGCGCTACATGTAAACAATATTCTTTGTTGTATTTTCCTATCAAAATAACAGAGTTAATTAGGACTTCTTCAGCTTTTAAGAACCATAAGATACTGCCGGTTTCTTCGATCGTGGGCGGAACTAATGCGCAAACGGCAATCTCACTGGCTGGCGCTCACCTATTATCGTCCCTGTTTTGATTTCAGCAAATCAGTTCGAGTGACCACAGACAACGTGATTAATATTCATGAACCCAGCAGCTCATTAATCGTTAATGTTTATATTGTTATTAGTAGTAGAATTCATAGTATTATTATTATCTTATCAGTATTATTGTTAGCTTTCTTCCCCTTTTTTTTTTTTACAGAAACACTGAATGACCAAAAATATCTTAAAGGGGTCATGGACTGAGAAATCAAAATTCCCTTGATCTTTTGACATATAAGAGGTCACTGTACTATAAAAACAACATGTAAGTTTCAGAACTCAAGTCTTTCTCATTAGTCTAAAAACAGCTTATATTGAAGCAAATCTGCCAAAACGACAGGTTATGGAATGTGCCACTTTATGACATAATAGTGTGGTTAAACACAGCCACGCAGAAGATCAACACCTGCTTCTACAGCACTGCCTGTTTAGCACATGTAGTGTAAATAACAAGAGAGGCAAACACAGGTCTATGCAGAAACCAAACGATAAAGATGGCTCAGAAAACAACAAGAAGCTGTGTGATGCCGCGTTAGTAAGAACCTGGTCCTTTGTTCACTTCATTTTACTGAGGATTCATTTACAAACAAGGCCCAATTCGAAGCAAGATTTTCATAAAGATTGAAACTAAAAGACGATGCTGTGCCGACTATATTGGATTCGACAGTAATGTAGCACCACACAAGCGTGAGTAACTTCTTATTACGTGGTCACTATTGCTTTGTCTGTTATTACAGATCGTTTGATATGTACTGAGTATTTATGCGTTTTGAACTGTTAGCCAATCATAGCAGTAGGCGTTTAATTCCGAGTCGACAATCCGCCATGCCTATTCAAACAGAGCTTTCTGATGAGGGGGTGAGAAAACCGTGAGCACTTGCTCTGTGACCAGCAGAGGTCTGGATGGGGAACAGGGTGAGGAACGGGAGGTGGATGTATGATCACAACAAAAAACAACATACAGATGATCAACTGAAATACTCAACATATGTAACATTTAAATATTTTGCTAACGTTCCAGATGTTTATGAGGGTGTGTAGGCTATATTAGCTTTGATAATTCGAAAAACTGCTCTGGAATGATATTTTAAAAATGCAGATTGTTTTTGAAAATGCTCTGTTCTGTACTTGCACTACTATACCATTTAGTAGATGTGTCGTGTAATCAGATTAATTATTATTTTAATAAATTGTTTTCATGAACAATGTGATCTTTATAACTAGTGTTTTATCTAAGTGTTTTAAGCTCCAAATTATTCAGTATAAAATGCTGTATCAATTTTCACATTACATGTATATTTTGCTGAACACAAGTCTAACTATTCTTTTTAATAAACCCTTTCCTTTTGGATCACCAGTCTTCAGTGCTCGGTAAACACTGCAGGTGTCATTGTGGTTACAGACACAGTGATGTTGCCTACCTTTGATTTCACCAAGCTGATTGCTCACTAAATAGTGGGTGTGTGAGTTGTTTAATCAGTCTTGTCTATTTACAGTGGTTTTATTTTTGTACTGTGGATTATTTTCTCATCCAATAGTTTGAGGAGGCACTGCCTCTCTTGCCTACTCGGACAGAATGTCCTTGGGGGTTAGTATTGTATTGAATTTGTACTAGAAAAAAACCTAACCCAGTGTAGTTACAACTCTGGTTGGCTTAACTTCAGAGTTGGAAAATTCTGATAAACCTGTGACAAAATAAAAACCTTTATGCATTATTATTATTTTTATCCCACGAGGCAAGAACTTCCTTACTATATTGGAATTCATAGAAAATGTTTGTTAACCCATGTAGGACCAACTAGTTTAGTGAAGACATAACACGTATTTTTAATTAGACGTTTAATTTGATTGAAAGACAAAACATCAAAGAACAACCCACAAAGTAGAACAGATGACTTTTTCCATTTCCTTAAAAATAAGACAAAATATGATGAGAGGACAGTCCTTCTCTTTGAGATGGCGAAAGGCGGAAACCAAAAGGCAAAGTGTATGTGAAAAGGGTGAAGGTGTCAGAGTTGACGTCATCCCTCACACAATCCACTTTCAAATGCTCTGATTTGAAATTTTCCCACTTCAAATCAACATTTACACAATGTATACAACAGCCCACAGAAAGAGGAAGGAAGGGAGGATATATAAGCAAGGGATAAAATTACATTTGTACAAAAATAGATTTTTTTCCTATAATTTCCTCAATGTTTTTAAAAGGTCCTGTCTCTGTGACGACTGAAGCGGTGACTGTGTCAGGGTCAAAGTTTATCCTCACTAGTTTAAATGGGGAAAAAAGCAATGCAACAGGTTCCTTTAGATTTTTTTTTTCCACTAACAAGACATTTGTTCGAGGTTTTGTGAACATAAAATGATTTATAAGTCAAGGAGCTGGTGTACGATCTTTTCTTAGAGCTCTAAACTGCTGGTATTAGTCTAAAATTTCCTTTTTTGTGTGTGAAATTCAAGCTTCACAAAAGCTTCAGCAATTAAAAACATTTCTAGTATCTGAGAACAGTGCAATTAGGCCTGGCTTTAGTCAATTTAAGGAAAAACGCTTGGCTCCCTTACTAACATTGTTCGGAAACATTTAAAGAATGGATTCATATACTTTCATATTTAGAAATATACACACATTTACATATAGACAAAATATAGCTTTATGTTATAAAGCATTTGCGTATGTATTAATTCTATCTAGGTTAACATTTCTCCATTACTCCATTTCCAACAGGAGAAAGTTTTTGATCTCAAACCTGAATATGGCTTCAAGATGCCGGTGATCCAAAATACTCATCCATTAAAAAGTGTAGGGAAGCCAATAAAATCCATTTGCCACGCAAAGGAAATGAGGGTAAGAGGACGAAAAGCTGATTTTCAGATATGTAATCCTAGAGAGGCATCCTAATAAACAGTATTGACTTAAATTGGTTGGGCGTCACTCTGGATAAACCATCTCGAGTGATCTAATTCATGCTATTGCTAAAGACCCTTGTGAGACTGCACTCAAACAAAAACAAACATTGATAATATCACGTAAAAGTGCCAGATTAAATACTTGTACAAAATTCAAGTAATGTTGCAGTGCTGCATATCCACCACTAGGTGGAAGTCTCAGCTCTCCCATTGCCTCAGTATTATTCCCTACAGTACTGCTCCACTCCTCCCAATGCAAAACCCCTAATATCTCTCTACGAACTGCTGGAGACCCGAATCTTGGTCCTGGCGGTCTAACCTTGTTCACATGTGGCCTCAGTCTCACTATGGACAGTCTTTGGGGGGGGGATGCTAAATGCATAGTTTAGCAGCAGCAGCAGCATACAGAAATAAAAAAAACGCTGAAAACGGCAAATTACAGACCCAGAAAACAGATGATACCTCATAAAAAAAAAAATAAAAAAATAAAAAGGCAGCCCCAAAAACACAACAATGGGACTTGAAACATGAGGTTAAGTGCTTAGAAACATCCTAATGATAACACAGATTTGCAAGACCTGAATGCATGAGACGGCTCGTGCGAAAGGCTGACGCAGGAGTGAATGAGGGACACAAAGGAATCAATATACCATAGTAAAAGTGACTGAAAGAGAGGTAACGGCACACATTTTGAAAAATCATCCACAAAATACAGGACACCAATACTGAATTGGTTGTAATAAACTGTACAAATGTCAAGCTCGTTTGGAAAACCACTTGAGGTGAATTGGTATACAGATGAGACACAGTGGGACATGTGGGCGACTTATAGGTGGGATATCCACTATAAGCGCCCTTAGTTTACGTCACTCACGTTTCAGCATCATGGGCTCTATGAGAACAGGCAGATCGGATTTTTAAAAGCTCATGTTTCGAGTGCATAATGAAAAAGTGTGAATGATCATAGTCCAAAACTCAAGAGTGGCTCATTAGACACTGGGATCTGCTCACAGCGAGACCTCAGTGTCCCTTCCTATTTGATCCTGAAGTTACGTCCTTATTGCGTCTCCTACCCACCACTGATGATGCTCGGGGTGAAGTGGGAGAACGAACGCGGTCTGTGATTCCTCATTGGTTCCTTTGCTCAGAGCACTCACTTTTTAAATGACAGTAATTACAAGAACATTCTGTCAATAACAGCCCGCTTGAGGGACAAATGGCAATTTGAGCAGGATTGTTATCGCAAAAACTCCCATCAGGGGCTGAAAACATAAAGTTTGTGTTAGAAACCCGGATTATTACCCGCATTACCATTATTATCATCTCCCATATGTCTTCATGTGCCCAGACACATCAGCCCAGGATGGCCCTACCCAATCCTGAATGAGGCTGATTACAGCCCTGGATCCCTCCCATCTTAAATCCCAACGTACACGAGCTTGCGTAAGAAATTCTTACAATTACTGCACCTTGATCAAATCTATCGTTTTTTTTTTCATATGAACCCACTGAAGGATAGTTTGATACACCCGTGACCACTGTTGTCTGTGGGCTTGAATTCCATTGTCATATTTTTTCTTATGTGTTATATATATTTATATCTTTATACAAAGTATAAAACAGACCCATGGACGCCATGACTGTGTATTGGAAACGCTGGGTTGAGCGGCGGTTCTGAAAGTTCCTTTGCTCTGGCAAATGGTGTCACGTGTTCAGTTTCTAAGGGGCCTTTGGGGTGGCAGACCCTTGTGTCCCCCTGGCGACAGGAGGGCGTTATGTCATTATGTCATTTGGTGGGGCGCCTCTAGCATCTCCATGAGGAAGGTATCGATGGGTGTGTCTCCTATGAGCTTGAAGAAGAACAGATGCTCCAAACATTTCAGTCCAATGGAACGCAGGGCAGGGAGCCGCAGCAACAACTTAGCAAACCTGCACACAAAAACACACATTGTCAAATGGCGAAAAAACAAGACGGATATACAATTAAACTGATAGCTCTTTTATCTGTACTTGATATGACTCTGACAACCTTTGAAGTCAGACAAGACCTGAGAAGCTATGAAATGTTCATATCTCAAATATCATTTAAATCGTACAAATATATACTGTATATATATATATATATATATACACAGTGTACGGAAAGTATTCAGACCCCCTTAAATTTTTCACTCTGTTATATTGCAGCCATTTGCTAAAATCATTTAAATTCCAGGTGTGAAAAACTTGTTGCATCAAAAAGACTCATGGCTGTATTAGATCAAATGGGTGCTTCTACTAAATACTGAGCATTTTTCAGTTTTTCTTTTTTAATAAATCTGCAAAGATGTCAACAATTCTGTGTTTTTCTGTCAATGGTGGGTGCTGTGTGTACATTAATGAGGAAAAAAAATTAACTTAAATGATTTTAGCAAATGGCTGCAATATAACAAAGAGTGAAAAATTTAAGGGGGTCTGAATACTTTCCGTACCCACTGTATATATATATGTGTGTGTGTGTGTGATGCCATTCAGGTACTGCAATGGTGCATAAGGTCAGAAAGTGGTTCTTGTACCTTCCAGGTTGTTCAGGGTACTTCTGTTTGCAGTAGGCTTCCAGAGAGGCATAGACCTTCTCTCTCAGCGCCTCCACCTCACCTGGGTTTGACAGGCCTTTGGAGTCTGAAACAGTAGAAGATGCATGGCAAAGTAAAGTTTTGGAGTAGGAACTGTACTATCGTGCTTCAGCACATCCTCAGAGTGTACGGCGTTCCAGAAGAGCCATGCAGCTGCTCAAACACCACTAATGGAACCAAACCAATATGTTCAAAATATTGAACTGTTCTAAGAAACGTTTCTCGAATTCCCAACAGTAATTCTCTCAACTCAATCTTGTACTCTACTCTAATTGGGCTGCATTTTTCCCCACTCTCTATTAAGTGAAAGGAAGAGAGGAGAGGCCTGTCCTCGGAAAATGAGCAATGCGCTGGACTATTCTTCATTATTTAATGGGAGATGCTTTCATGGGGGGGGGGTAGTGTATGTTTACTCTGGGGTTCAAAGTCCAGTGTTAAGAAATTCAAAAACTTTAAACAGATATAGTAGAGACAGGAAATTTTTGGACATTGAGCAAGGGAATGGGATCAGGAAACATCACAGGCAATTTGAATGTGCTTACAATATTGATTTCAAGAAAGTCTTTAGATTTTTATCATTAGAAACAAATTTTTGACTGGTAGCCTCACAAGGGGGAATATAGAGCAGTACCTGGGTTGAAGAGGACGATGGCTCGAAGGCACCCTAGCTCTGTTTTATCCATCTGCATGTCTCTCATCTTTGACACCAATTCCGTCAGCACCCTGAATATAGGAGAAAACACACAGGCTAAGACTGAAAACAGGTCAAATAATGCCAGTTATGAAGCTGTGATATTCAGAGTTTCAGGATGTCATGATCAGTATATGAGAACATGGGGTCCCTTTTCTCGCCCTAAGTGAGAATGCATCATAAAACGGGATACTCTGTCAACTCTGTAAGGTCTGTAAGGTCTAAGCATATTTTTATTTAACCCAGAAATTCTTTCTTTGTTTTTTTAATCTATGTTGTTTTTACGTCATTTTATATTGCACAATTTGTTTATTATTACAATTATTTATTTATTTTGTGAGGTAAGCTATGGGAAGGGTTGAAACTAAAACATGTCATTTGTAAAAACCTTGATGTTCATGTTTAAATGTTGCTTAAAATTGCTTCAATAGATCTTTATAAATGAAGGACACTGCTAACACGATCAGCTGTTGGGAAATGCAGATATTACTACATTACTGCTTTGACTGGCAGCGACTGTCAAATATCTATAATGCCTCAATAAAATGTCTAGATTGGCATCACTTCCTCTGATCCAGAGGGTGACGTCTCCTCTGACAGTCTTGGCCTTTGTGTGACCGGGTGACCGCACACACACTGGTGTGAGGCATCCTCATTCCCACTCTTAACACACTCTAATTGAATTGGCCTCCTGGAACAATAAGTGGAGGGGTGGGGAACTTGAGCCCAGTGTTTCAGTCTACCATCCACTTCATTTGTGCCACGGCTGTCACTTGCAGGGGAACTGATAAAGAAACATTATCAGGGCTGCGCATCTTAATGCGAGCGGCATTAACACAGATCTATTCTTCCGGAGTCGCTGGGCGTATTCTAATAGCTAAAGCAGCCTCTGGGAGCTGAGAGCGGAGTGGAGTCTTAAAGCACAGCGCTGCAGACTTAACAGAGTCAGGTGACACGGCTGCTGGGGATGTTAATGTCCAATTACTGTTAATACAGCTTTTTTTTGTTACAGTCATGACTTTCTTAATCAGTATTTCTGTCTTGTTTTTCAGTAACAATATCCTTCAAATAAAGTGTGCATAAGACGTTTTCAGTAAATACGCTGAGTATAACATTTTAAGCATAAATATATTAGATTTATGGTTTTAAAAATATTCTCATTGACAAATGGATTTATCACTTACAATTAGGGCTGTGCGATATGGACAAAAAAAACCTATCGCGATTTCTTTGATCAATTTTGCGATTTCGATTTTAATCACGATTTTGACACACACAGACATGCTTTACAGTCATAAATGCATTAGGTGTGAATTTGAAACATATTTCCAAAAGAAAACCAATTAGAGCTTTATCAAAAAGCTGTAACATGTCTCTAGAACAGACATAAGGCAAAATAATCACGAAGTAAAAGTGTAACAAAATGTCTCTAGAATAGACAAATGGCAGAAAAAAGAAAAAAAATCCCGTGTCCAAGGATTTTTTTTTGCCATGCATTGGTCATAGAGCTCTTTGTGGCATTGCCTCAGATGTTGAACTAGATTTGTCGCGTCAAGTTCACACGTGCTCTGTCTGCAGTGCGTATACAGTATGTGTATG